GAGAGGATTGTGCTGGGAAGGCTAACATGCGGATATGATGGGGCGAGTTTTAAGTCTGTCGGTAAATGGGAAGCCGATTGATCTTCCGTTTGATCTTGAACCCGAAATGTTAAATAACGATGGTGTGTATCAAGTAATAAATCAACATGAAAAACGTCAATTGATTTATTTATTGGTTGCTGATAGAGTGTAAATTCCTTGATGGGCCAAGTGTATGGACGTGATTTTTCAGAGGACTTTTGAATAGAACCATCAAAAATATTCAGAACCCATGTATTTTGTGATGAAAATGTAGAAAACATTTGAAAATCAGGTTGATAAATAATACCAATTGAAATTGAAAGAGTAGCATCACTAACAAATCTAGAAGAATGTATATTAAATCGAATAGATTGATAGCGTTTATTCTTAGAGAGGAAACCGTGATTTGTAGACGCAAATACTTGATGAGAATATGTTTTGTCAATGTACTCGATCTTAGAGTTGTAGCCACCGAACATTGCGTTCCTTCCAGTATCTTGTACTTGTACTTTTTGTGTATAAGTTTGACAGCATATTGTACGATTGTTGTCTGAAAATTTGGCATGGTCATCAGACGAAAGATTTCGAAATTGGACTTCATTTTCCCAAAGAGATATTAGTTTGGTTGCATGATCAAAACGATCACTAATACTCCATTCTAATTGTTCAAGTCGTTGGCCATATTCATGAATAATATTTTCCAATCGAGAGATATCATCAAGTCGAACACAGTCTAGGTCGAACTGCATATTAAATTGACGTGATATTCGTCCAAAAATAAGAGTAACTGTCACATCTAGTCTCACTTTTGTACCCTGTTCTAATATTTTGAGATTTTTATTTGAACATTTCCCATCGTTGTCAATCAATTCCTGAAGTAATTCAAAGAGATGCTCACATGTTTCACAAGCACCTTGTGTCATATTAACGATAGCATCTTGATCGATCTCTGTTCGATAGATTCGTTTTGTTTGACAATGTTCAGCACCGATTGATAATCTCGATTGAGAATGATGAACATCAATTTTGTATAATTTTATAAGATTTTCATCAGAATTGGACTCGCAACGTGTCATTGTAAGATAAGTGAAAAGAGCAACACAACGAATAAACTCGTATCATTCTTTTTCGTTTCTTATCTGATGCAAATTTATCTTTCATTCTCATTTTATAAGACAGTCAAGAGTTCATCTATTTTGTAATCAAACACAGCAAAGAGTAACGGTTTCTAACTCAATAGCACAAAAGCAAATATTTTAAAAAGAAATTACAATTATTAAAGTAAAAATTGTTGGTAGATTCATTCGTGTAGATTTATTCAATGTTTTTATTTTTCAAATCATTAATCGTTTCAGAATATATCAATAAACTGAATTTTTTAGAAGAAATTTGACGCACATCAAATCAGTTGAAAATAATGGATCTAACTATACTATCAAAACATTTCATAGTTTCCTTTTATGATTTTTCGCGAGAACTATTTTGTAATCTTTTCTCTTTTTTTGCAGCATGATAGACAGTGATGTTTTTCCCTGATGTTTGAATTATTATTCCTTTCTTTTTTTGCACAAATGATGATATTGATAAGGTTTGTGGGTGTGGGTGTGGATGTGAAGAGGAGAATTAAACCCAAATGCCCACACCCAAACCCCACACCCACCCACCAATATTGATTGATCCGTGTCAGAGGTGAAAATGATTTCCTTGTAAAGAAATGATTGTTTGATAAATAATTGAACAGATTTTGTCAACTTGTCTATTTGATCAAAATGATTAATATTATCGTATGTTGTTTTCTATAAGCATATATTTTTTGTTGTACAGTTTTTCTTTTATTCTTTTTAGAGCGTTGAAGAAATTATCACCAAAACCAAAATAATTTTTTTCATTTAAACATCACTATGTCATTAATAGCTGATGAATATTGTTTCAAGTATAAAATCTATCGACCTAAGCATGATACACTTCAATTACTGTGTACACAAAGACGTGCATGAGTCGTGGCTCTTCTGGGGGTGCTTCACACCCACACGAGAATTTCGAAACTTGAAACTTGAAAACTTGAGATTTCAATTGGTTTTAAGTTTCAAGTTTAACATGTATGCATCTGACACGGTATTGTAAATATTATGATTGAAAACGGTGGCGTGTTCTACTCCTGATAAAATTTTGTTAAGATTTGCATTGAGAGTGCCTAGGAAATTGTGAAGTTCGCGAACTTAGACGAATGGGATTCAAAATTGAATATAACTCAATGTAAATATAGAAGATTAATGCCTCGTCCTTTTTTTAAAAATTGCTTGTTATTTCAAATAAGTTTTTTTCAGTATTTATACTTGGTTCTTGAACGTCAACATTGCCTGGAGAATACTTTTTTTCAGTAAAGACAACTATGTTTCAACTTGCACAATCTGTATTGGCATAGACGATGCAATGAATCGTAATCATCGTATTGAAAAAGGTGTATACTGGTGACTCATTCTAATTTTGCTTTGATCACATGTTTGCATTGCCACCTTTTCTATTGTAAACGATTTTTCACTTTCATATATTTATCTATCGATATGTATACTCTATTTGATATTTTGCCTACTGCTTTAAGGAAATTGGTAGTATTTTTTCGACGACTGTATCATTTCAAGATTATTCTTTTAGTAACATTGATTGTTTATCTTTTTAATATTTTCCACGAGAAAGTGTTCATTTCCAGTCAAGAACCTTTCTTCGATACTTTGCTATTCGACGACAATTGGGAATTTTCCTTCGATGAACAGACCTGGATTGCTGTAACATTGCCACATACTCCTCACCTAGAACCTATCGAGAAAATTGAACAACAACGGCAGGGTACATGCTTCTATCGGAAACAATTGCCGATTGATGGGAAATATTATCATATAACACTTCAGTTTGATGCAGCAATGCACGAAGCAGATGTCTGGGTAGATGGTTTACATGTTGGTCGTCATCTCGGTGGTTATTTACCCGTCTATATTGACATTCCAAGCGGAGGGAACATAACAGTTCGTCTTCGTAACACTGACAATCCTCTTATTCCACCAGGTAAAAGTCTGTCTGCACTAGATTTTAATTATTATGGTGGTCTCTATCGTCATGTATGGCTTCTAAAAAAATCGCACCACCTTCGTTTCAATCGACATGTTAGCATTCAATATGAAAATATTAGTCGAGCTCAAGTGCCTCTTAGTGTACGGTTCAATGTCATTCATAGATCTGGTGAACTCGACCAGTATCGAATCCGATACTTGTTGGATGGTCATGAACTATTGCCTTCGTCCATTTTACTTCAAGAAAATCCATCAACGACATCTTATTCATATGATGTAAAAATGATTGTTTTTAATCCTCGTCTCTGGTCACCATCGCAACCGAATCTCTATGAGTACGTATTGGAACTTTTATCAGACATAGGAACAACAGAGAGAATATTTGATCGACACAACATCACCATTGGATTTCGTTCACTAGAGTTTCAATCCAATAGTTCACATTTATTTTTGAACGGACAACAAATGGATTTTCTTGTTGGAACAAATCGTCATCAAGAGTATCCTTACGTTGGCTATGCTCTTTCCGATCAAGCACAATATCGTGACGCTTACAAAATAAAAAAAGCCGGTTTCAACTTAGTCCGTTGTTCTCATTATCCACCATCGCCAGCTTTTCTCAATGCCTGTGATCGATTGGGACTTCTTGTTATTAATTCGATTCCTGGTTGGCAGTTCTTTGGCGACAAAACTTTTCAAAACAACAGTCTCGATGATGTTCACCAGATGTTTCGTCGTGATTGCAATCATCCGTCGGTGTTTCTCTGGGAAGCAAGTCTCAATGAAAGTCCGATGACAAAAGAGTTCATGATTCGTGCTCATGCAATTGTCAAAGAGGTGTCGCATGGGTTGACTAGTGGATGGCTCGACGAAGAAAATATCTATGATGTATTTACACCAGCTCGACAACATGGTCAAGCGCCTGATTATTATAGAAATTATCGAGCAAAGAATAACAAACCACTTCTTCTGGCCGAGTATGGTGACTGGGAATACTTCGCATCGCATAAAGATAATTTCAATCAGGCATACAACTCTTCAAGGTTCTATGAGAACACGTCAAGACAACGAAGATATGATGGAGAAAAACGATTGTTACAGCAGGCACACAATTTCCAAGAGGCTCACAATGACAATCGTCGTGCTAGTCAAACAGCTCGGATTGTGGGTGATGCTAATTGGTTAATGTTTGATTACAAACGAGGCTATGCACCTGATATTGAGGCATCCGGAATTATGGATATCAATCGATTACCCAAATTTGCTTTCTATTTCTATCAGTAAGAGTGACAACAGAAAAACAAAGAGTTGATCTCATAAAATCAATACTGATTGACTCTCTTTTCTCTATTCAGGAGTCAATGTACATCTTGTGAACCGATGATATTTATCGCTAGTTATTGGACAAATTTGTCCAATACATCTGTTACAGTTTATTGCAATTGTGAACACGCCGAACTTCGACTGAATGGTGAGAGAATTCTGAACGGTGGCAAACAGCAGCACGATTCATCTTATCTTCTACGTTCTCCGTATATCTTCAATATTGATCGCTACATACCTGGACGTTTGGATGCTACTGGTTTTATAGGTGGAACAGCTGTTGTTCGAACACATCAATCAACGCCTGGGAATATTCGTCATCATTTGAATATCGAAATTGATCTGAGTGGGCAATCATTGACAACGAAAGATCTTGTCTTCGTCTATGCCTATATATGCGATCAAAATGATATTGTTATTCCGAATGCAGACGACTTGATTACATTTTCTCTTCTCAACGCTCGCAACTGTGCATTGTTGGTAGGTGACAATCCAGTACGAGCTGAAGCTGGCATCGCGAGTATTCTTTTGAAAACGACAAATAAGAGACCAGTCGATTTCATAACACTTATTGCTAAAGCATCGACTATCGAACATCAAGAAACACGACATATATTCTATGTCGCTTAATAAAGCTTTCTTTGTGGTACAGCCGACACAAAAGACATGCATGGAATTTTACGGACTTGTCAATATACAGTGCCCGCTAATTTCATCGAATGAAAACTTCTGTTTATATTTACTAATGCAGGGTGTGGGTGTTAGTATTTTCTTCATCCACACCCCATAATGGTAAAGTTTTCTGTGAGAACTTCTAAAGTAAAACATGCGAATAGAAAAATGCCCATTAAATTAGAAAAACTTCGCAAAGATAAACAGTAGACATTCTATAATTTCGATTCTTCTGAGACAAAACAAAAGTTAGATTNCTAAATAGCTAAATCATCTGATTCTATAGAAATTCGATTAAAATTAAGATAGAGTAAGATAAAAACAAACCTTTTTACCATTTCTTCTTTCAGATTAGTTCGAAAAGCTACTTAAGGCCACCCCCCCCCCCCCCCCAAAAAGTCACTTTTCGTCAGAATGATCGAAACTGAGATAAATGCATGGGGAAATAGCCGGTGATCGGCTCTTTCATAAACGACGAAACTTTTTACTCGACACTTTTTTTCCAAAAATATTGGAATATTTTCGTCATCACGTATTCGAAAAACAAGCTGTTTTCACAAAAAGTCGAATATTAGTTTTCGTTTTTCTCAGAATGTGACTTTGACAATGTATCTCCAACGCCGTTCTATCACAGTGCGAGATAAAGTCAAATATCTGTTTGCTTGAAAGCTTATGTCTAGGGCTGGCTCTCCTCATGGTCCCTTTTTTAAAATTAGCCTCTTTAGTACGTCGTAGAAAGTGAACCAAACATGTCAGTCAAAGAAATATTGCTCACTTTCTATAGACCGAATGAAACAATCAAATTCGAGTCCGCATTTTACCACAATCTGTCTATTTTTTCCTTGTCTGTCATTGTCAGCCTGTCAGATCAACATTTTTAATACTAAATATGCCAGCAAATACAAAGTACTCGAGAAGTTTATGCTTTTGAAAAAGTATGTGGTGGGGTGTGGGTGTGAGTTCTACATCAATCCATACACACCCACACCCAATAATGATTTTAAGAATCAATATGCCTACATCTATCGAAGTGGTAGTCACAAATGAAATATTAATTTATCTCAGTCTTGCTTGAATTGAAACTTAGGGAATAACGAATATTTCTATGACAATCGATACTCAGATAATTGTTCTAATGCGTCCATGGAGTACGATGAACTCTACGTACGAGTAAACGCCCGACCATTCCAACAAAAAGCCAATTGCTATCAAGAGAAATATTCTACCTAATAGAACATGACTCTTCTTTCGAAACAGACACGAAAAATACCTTCTTTACTGTTTCTCTTCTACAATTTTCCCACTCTTTCAAGATTTCAATAGATTCTTCTAAATGAAAACTCACTTATCCGCTCCCACACGAGCAAAAAATGATAGAGGATGCCCGACATGACTAGTCTCGAATGTTTTTATTACCGTCTGGTCTAGTCTGAGATGACCTGCGATTCATCAGGACTGGTATTCTAGACAGAGTATATTGTGTAACTAAATATAGACTGGTTCAGAATGTGTCCACCAGAGATGAACGAGTCGCGGTGTCACACTGATCCTCCTCCCCTCACTGGAGGCGGGGAGGAAATTTTAAACGGGACGGTGACGGTACATTGCGAGATTTCGCGGTTTCCCCACCTATTGACAATATTCAATTGCTTTTTGAAATAGTCAGACCTTTAGAGACATCTTTTAATCTTTTTAAAAATGTCTTCACGTGTAACTATTGGCGGCAAGATTTATTCCATCAAATTGCTCAACCGAAAATGTGTATATTTGTAAATGTCTACATTGTTAGGTCGGCTGACTGCACGAAGTGTTGGCAGAGCCTCTTAGTTGCCTAGCAATTTTCTTTCTTCTTCGTCTTCTCAACACATGAGTCAACATTCAAGTCAATCACTCGTTCTCAACTCCTGGTTATTATTTTCAGCCGAAAAAAGTTAGGCGAGATCCTGATAACGTGACGAGTGCACATCCGAAATCCGTTTTTCGAAATTCGGCAGCGTTCGGGAGATATAGGAATGCCGAAAATCAATAATTAACACCTGATAGTTTCCTTATATGGGTATGCATGACTCAATCTTAGATGATCATTCACATATAAGATGTCAAATGCATAAATATATTTTAATTAATTGTCGCCTTATGCAACTTAAACTCTTCCATCATGAAGTCTCGAATATCGAGACAAATTTTTCAATGACGACCAAGTATTTCAAATAAGTATAGAAAAAAAGAAATTAACAGCTGACGATTTCCTTAGTCTTCTGCTTGTCTAGTGTATTTTCATAAGTGACTTAGCTGATGGGGCGAATTATCACTGAAATAAACTATCCAACTCAACGAAATAAATAGCAATTGATAGGCTTCCTCAAAATGAACGTCCTGTCTGCAGTCAACCGACATTGCATCCAGCGCACAGCGCTGAATGGCAGTTTAGTTGTTATTTATATTTATATACTGATATTTATTAAATGTTAGTGATAAATTAAAATTTGATTTATTTCTGAAAACAGATTTTGGATAGGACGGGGCGGGGCGGAGTGGTGGCGCTGTAACTTTTTTCTTGCCTCGTCCATCTCTGGTGTCCACCACCTGTCATGACTAGTCAATTTTGTCTATTCATACTGTCTAGGCTCGTCAGTAAAACAGACAGATAGATGACGACGGCTGGATTCGAACATTGAATGGTATATTATTGAATGCATGCCTAGTCTAGACTATTCTCAAAAATGATCTGGATTGGTGTGAAACATCATCTTTATCGTCCATGACTAGTTAGCTTTGAGAAGCTGGTGTTAAATTGGATCCAGAATAATATAAATTCTTCCGGCAATTCATTTTAGTTTTATCTTACTTTTAAGACAACTTTTTTAGACTGATTCATACTGAAACTAGAAAATTGTATAATATTTTACAGGATTTTTTTAAGGATTTTAATTATTTCTTATAATATCTAATTCAGAACTGGATGCTTTTATAATATAAAACACGTAGCAAAATATTAATCATCTTGTTTTCAGTTTTTCATTTTCAATAGAAAGAACTTCCCAAAACGAATAGTTACGACAAGAGTTGATTGAATATTTGATAATATGCAACTCACGTGATAAAAACCGGCAGTTTATTGGTCCGGTTACCGGCTCCCAATGATGTAATTTACCGCGGTTTACCGCTAAAAATGGTCCGGCATTCGCAACATGGGAAGTTATCAATTTTTACCAATTCATATAAAAAATAAGCATCGAGTAACTTTATGGGTTAAAAATGTTACACTTTTTATACTAAAGCTACAAAAGTATGTTAAAACACAAAACAGTGAATAAAATTACAAAGCAGTTGTTAACGTTTTAATGAGAGTTGCATATTTATATGCTTCAAATTTTTTAGATTATCAAAAATAGGGCTAGTTTTATTTGAGGAATAGTTTAACTATCTTTATATGAGAGTTATATGTTATTGTAAGAAGATAAGAGTTTCCTTATCCTTTTTTTCCCGGGATCATCTGTTTCTTAACACTTTGAAACAGTTCTTATTGTATAGTTATGAAAAATAATCGAGAATTTAGAAAAAAAAGGAATCGCTTTTTATTAGCAGAGCTTTTAATGATTATTTTATTTTTTCAGACTATCATCACTCAATCAATGAACTCAAGAAAATATATAAAAAAAGTTTAAATATCGTGTTTGAGCGCCATCTATGTATTCCTGTGAACATAGAAAACTTGTAAGAAATATTCACTCTAAAAACGTTTCCTAGTATTCTTTCATTTTATTTTCTTAAATATGATTGATAAATCATCAATATATTTCATCATCTTCACATTTCTAATTGGTTATAAAAAAAACTCCTTTAATGTTGTCGTCATCATCCATCGTTTTTCTTCCGTTTTCGTTACACTAATCTTTCATAATTCTATACATTGTTCGAGATGCATATGACTGGCTCATGTTTTTTTTACATAATATATTGCAAAATCGTCTCATTCCGATAATACAAACAACGATATAGAGAATAATATTTCACTTGCATGAGATAACCATTATCGAAATTATACTTAATGCAAGATATATATATGGTAGTAGGACAGATATAGAATCGAAACTTTGTTGACCAAGACTTAGTGCAAAGAATGAAATAGTTGATGATGACGATTGTGTCTACAATATGAATTTGAATAAATAGTCCAAAACAACAACATGAAGCTCAACAGAAAGAATTCGATCAAATGTAAGATAATAAAAACTCTTCATTTATTTAATATTCATTTTTTTCTTTCTTACAGTAAAGAAAAAGTTTGCAAAAAAATATATACAGTTGAAATTAACATTAGAAGCATTGCATGTTTTTTTTAATGAAAATCAATGGTTCCAATTGATGAACGTATAAAAAACTAGAAAAGCACATCAACAACAGAATGTAAAAACGAAAGCGACACAATTAATTATTTAACACGAAATATCAAAAGTGACGGGTGAAGAAATCATTTACAAAAATGGTATCTATAATAGCTACAAAACAACCATCTACTCAGTTGAAAAGATATATATATAGGGACAGAGAAAAAGATTCTTAACTTACGAAGGAACAGCCCGAAGTGATTCAATACTTGTGCGATCATATCCTGAACATATAAAGACGACTTTTAGAATCGAATAACATCAAAAAGTTTCGAGCTAAATAGACCTTCTTTACAGTGTGATCTCAAATTTGATGGATTTTTGACCTAAACTTTTCTTGTAAGCAGGTCTTATCATTTCAAGAATATTTTAAATGTTTCAGTCGAAGTAATGACTTCCTTGTTGAAATCTAATGGAATTTGGACAATTGAATATTTCCACAAGGAAAATAATATTTCAGAACAAAGAAAAATCTTTTGTTCAATTTTTCTTGCAATAACTTGTCCTCAAATAAAATCCAACGAAAATTTCTTAACTCTATAAACAAGGTCTATAGGTCGGAGTTAA